TATTAAAAACACATAAAATGAAGTTGAACCAAGTAATTGAATGGTTTATAAGACATCATGGGGCTTAGTTCTTCACACCCACCAAGAATATCTGGGTACATTGTAATCATATGACATTTTTAAGCATTTGAGTTTTTATTCTGAGTGTCTCAAGCCTAGTATCAATCTATGCTGCCAAGACTTGTGTTCAGGCCCCCACCTCTCCTCGACACCTCCTCCTCAGTGTAGGCAGGCATCAGGGAAGAGGGAGAACTGTGAGCCATTCATACTGTTCTTTTTTTATAGCTTGAGGAAAAGATTCTGTGTGGAAAAATTTCAATTACAAGGCTTTAACAGGGTTTGGACATTCCTTTTCCAATGTCTATATATCTATGTTAATATGAGGAATTAGAATTTGGGGATCTGTAAGAAATATGGAGGAAAATAAAAAAATAAATAAATAAGAAATATGGAGGGACCAGCAGATGGCGTAATAGTTACATTGCTGAACTGCCACATGCCTGACTGCAGTTTGAGTCCTAGACCCAGTGGCTTCACACTCATGTCAGGCACTTCTGCGTGTGTACGCAAGATCTCAGTAAGAGAATAGTGGAGAAGCGATTGCAGCATGGCCATTCCCCAGGAGAAGATATCTCACTTTCTGTCTTTCTAACAAGCACACATATCCTATAGAAAAAAATCTCTCCAAAAAAAGAAAGAAAGAAAGAAAGAAAAAAAGAAAGAAAGAAAGAAAGAAAGAAAGAAAGAAAGAAAGAAAGAAAGAAAGAAAGAAAGAAAGAAAGAAATAAATAAATAAATATGGGAAAATAGCCTAACTTTATACAACAGGTGGAATATTTAATTCTTCATTCACATTACATGTTTACCAAACAGGTTGTTTTTAATTACTTGGAAAATCAGGTGTTTAAATCTGACACACCTTTTCCTTTGCTAAAATACTGTAGTATCCTCTGCTTTTCATTCCTTTAATGATCTGAGTACTTATACATACATACATACATACATATATATATATATATATATGGCACGCTCGCCAGACAGACAGAGAGAGACATAGAGACAAAAAGTGAGAAATCACCCCCCAGAGGGGATGGTCACGCTGCAATCCCTTCTCCTCCATTCTCCTCTTGGGATCTTGGGCACGCACGCACATGCACCCGGGTGAGTTTTAAGCCACCGGGTCCAGGACGCGAACCGCGGTCGACTATGTGGTAGTCCAGCTACATAGCCATTACGCTAACTGCTGGTTCCCTGAGTACTTATATTTTTCTGTGTTGACTTTCTTGAGTACCAGCATACACATAAGAATACTTAGTCTTATTTTTTAAAGAATTATTTCATTTTATTTATTATTATTATTTAATTTGCCACAGGGCATATGTGCTCACCTGACAATGAGAGAGAAAACCACCAGGTCCAGGACTCAAACTGCGGTTAGCCGTGTGGGAGTCCAGTGCCCTAACCACATGCCACCTTCTGGCTCCTAGTTGTATTCTTAACAGCCAAACATTTCGAAGTAGGGTAGCGTTAGGATCAATGTTTTTGGGCGACACCTACCAACTCTTTTCCCTGAGTTTATTTTACAACTGACTGGTCTACCATCACCTGAGCTATTTCTTTATCATGAATACTTGTTTTCAAAATGGTGATCATGTAATTGTCACAAAACTATCACTTCCCCCCAAAGAAGTGTTTTTTGCCATTCTGGTGATTCTTATTCAAATTTTTATAATACTCATTGTATTCATCTTGCCTAGATTATTGCATCATAAATACATGTTTTGATAGTTGCCAGACATTTTCAGCTCAGTAGAGGGGGCATTTTTATCAGTATTGTGTGACCTAAGTTAGGGCACCTGACTCTTCAGTCATTTAGTCAGTCTGGAAACCAGAGGATATGTTCTACAAATATCAAGGCTGTAAGTGCAGTTATAGTGAAAGGAAGGAGGGAAAGATTAGCTAATGAGGGGAGCGGAAGGGAGAGCAGTAACAAGGATGAAGGGAGGGTATTGTTCATGGAGGACCTTACCTAGTCTAGGTCTAATCAGGTACCCCTGCTTTAACACAGTGTATGTGAGGAACACCCAGATAATTTGAGTTTGATCTTACTGGTTCTAGACCACATTTGTGATTTGTAGACGAATCCTCTAAAAGTTACTTACATTGTCTGAGTTTAGAATATTGTTTTAGGGGCCAGCAGGTGATGTGGTAGTTAAAGGTGCTAGACTCCTACATGGTTGACCATAGTTTTAAGTCCTGGATTTGATGGCTTGCTTTCTCACTTTCCCTCTCTCTCTCTGATAAAACTAGAAAATAATAATAATTAAATAAAGTTACATAAAATAATTCTTTTTAAAAAAGACTATTGCTATTGCTAATTTCTTTTCCTTTCTTTTCTTTTTTTTTTTTAGGGAGTTTTTTTGCTATCAGACACATGTATTCACCAGAGTGACAGAGAGAGACAGAAAGCAACAAATCTCCAGTGGGGGGAATGGCCATGTCACAATCCCTTCTCCTCCATTCTTCTCTTGGAATATTGGGTACGTGTGCACATGTGCCTGGTGTGAGTTTCACACTTCCAGATCTGGGACTCTAACCCCATTCGGCCATATGGAAATACAGCAATGTAACCTTATAATGCCATCTGCTGGTCCCACTTCAGCCAGTTTCAATCACCCTCATATGAACCCATTCATGGATCCTTGTTTATACAGTGTTTCTGGTGAATCCATTTTTTTGCATTTATGTTGTCCATAATCAATAGTAGCTCATTTTACAATGTACAGTATGTACTCACAAGAAGTTTGTTGAATAAATGGAAGTGTGAATGTATGAATGAATGAACACAAGTTCATTCTTGTAACACAGATGGATACTCACACTAGTAAATACACTTGTATTCTAGATTCTGGATGCAGACATAAGGTTACACATTTACTTTCATTTTGAATTGAAAATCTAGAATATGCTTGTGTATTGATTAAATCTTGATAAAATACAAATAAAACTGTTATTTGCTTTATAGCTGATATGTTTACATCTACAGTATCCATAGTGGTTTCATTGTCCTGCTGCAATCTTCAAATACAAATGTCAACTACATACTTATTCTCTTTCTTGGACCTAACTTTCTTTATGATTGTAATTTGTTTCCATAGCTCTTCTATAAATAAGACTGGGGCATTTATAGCTTGTGTTCTGAATGAAAATCTGAGTCCCAGGATTGGATTTTCACCTTTTCCTTTTAGAGTTCAGAATAATTTCTTTACTAGCAAAAGTGTGGTACATTGTTTCTAGTATGTGGCCCTGAAATTTTAGTAGACACAGTTTTTAACTCCTCTATATCTATGTATAATAAAGTAACAGTTTTGGAAAACATGAGCTCATACGTATTTTCAACTTCATAGGATAAGGCTACTTGCAGACATTTTATTTACTCTTTAGTCATCTTTTGCTTCATAAACAAATTCTTAAAATCCGATACAAACAAATACATTCATGGTGTACGAACTAACCATAACTATAAAAAATAATTACCCACTTCAGTCAGAAATTAGGTAACATTTATTTTAATTGCCCTATCAATTTGAATTCATCTTATATTTATTTTTAAGACCTATTTTGGTTAAGCTAACAAAATCAATTGTTGAATTTCAGATGTAATTCTAGAGGTGTTAGTCTGTAATTTACACAATCATTATTTTTTATCAACTAATCAATTATGCCATCTTATTTATTTATTTATTTATTTTGCTATAGAGCATGTGTGCGCACCAGAAAGACAGAGAGAGACAGACAGAAAGCGAGAAATCATCCCCCAGGGGAAATGGCCATGCCATAATCCCGTCTCCATTCTCCTCTCAGGATCTTAGGCACGCACGCACATGTGCCTGGTGTGAGTTTAAGCCATTGGGTCTGGGACTCGAACCACAGTCGACTACATGGGAGTCCAGCAACATAGCCATTACACCAACTGCTGGTCCCCAATTATGCCATCTTAACAACACACAATTCTACCCTACATTTATTCAATTAAAGTATAGTGAAATAGGGACCAGCAGATGGTGTAATAGTTACGTCACTGGACTCCCACGTAGTCAACCGTGGTTCAAGTCCCAGACTCGGCAGCTTGAAACTCACACTGGGCACATGTGCATGTGTGGCCAATATCCCAAGAGGACTGTGGCATGACCAACCCCCTTGGGATGAGTTCTTGCTTACTGTCTCTCTCTGTCTCTCCGGATTGTTGTATAAAGTGCCCAAAGTTTTTGTTACAGCTTAATCATCTGGGTATGACTTTTTTTGTTTTGTTTTAAGTTTGCTTTAGGGTATATGACCACACCAAAGAGAGAGATAAAGTAAATCACCACTCTCCTCCCACCAGAGGAAACTGTCATGCCACAATCCCTTCTCTTTCAGTCTCCTCCTGAGTTTTTGGGAATGCACACATATGTACCCAGCCTTTCAGCTCCAGGATGTGAACCAGTCAGTCACATGGGATCCAAACACTTTAACCTTCATACCACCTGCTAGCCCTAGCTATGAGATTTTTCGAGCCAATCCCATAGCCCAGAGGTTAAGAGAGCCACTTCTCATGTGGTTGACCTCACAGTTCAAATCCCAGCTCCAACAACTTGAAAAACACACCTGGCACATGTGTGTGTACCCGCAGTCCCAACAAGATGAAGAAATGGAGGACCCAGAGAGGGACTCTCTCCTTTCCCCCCCTTTTCTCTCTCTGTTTTTCTGTCTTTCTCTGGCAAGTGTACATGCCCTCTAGTTTACTTTTTTTTTTTTTAATGTTTTTAAACTGAGTAAATTACAAAAATGATTTCTTTAGAAAAGCCCTTGGTTAGTAGCTACCTATCTTTATGAGTAATTTCCAGGTTAATTATATTTGTAAAATTCAATGGAAATATTCTACAGTATTATACTGAATGAATCTTTAATTATATTCTGAGGGATTTTTTTCATTCTATTTTTCTATTTCTTTCTTATAGGTTTGGGCTTCAGTATTGCAGGAGGTGTGGGGAACCAACACATTCCTGGAGATAACAGCATTTATGTAACTAAAATTATAGAAGGAGGAGCTGCGCAAAAAGATGGAAGGTTACAAGTAGGAGACAGACTACTAATGGTGAGTGTGATACCAGCAAAACTGTGTATAAGGAAAAAGCTCTTATTTCTCACTGTGTAGTTATATAGCCTTGGTCTGTTCAGGCTGCCATAACAGAATACCATAGACCAGATGGCTAAAACCATCTTCTTGCAGTTCTGGAGGCTGGAAAGCCCAAGACTGCAACCAGTTAGATTTCTGGTTCAGGGCTTGTTTCCTAACTTGCAGATGGTCACCTTTTCACTGCATCTTAGATGGCCTTTCCTTTATTCTCATGATAAGTGAGAGATCAGTCTCTCTTTCTCTTTTTATTAGACCACCAGTTCTTTCAGAATGAGGCTCAACCTTCAATTCATTTAACTTAATTACCTCCAAAAGACCCTGTTTCAAAATACAGTCACATTGAGGATTTTAGGCTTCAATTTGTGGGGTGGGGTACACAATTCAGTCCCAGGCAACTGACCCCAGATGGTGATACAGGGGTAAAATATGATGCTTTGCAAGGCTGACCCACTTGGGAAGATTCCAGGTTTGCCCACAAAGACCTTCATCACTACGTTCATGACCCAGAGCTAGCTGAAACTGAGAGTGGTTTGCAGCATCACAACTATGTTGGAAGTACTTTCTTTCTGTTCTCCATCTCTTTCCTTATCTCCGTCACTCAAGAAACAAATAAATAAAAAATAAACTTCAACAGAAATTTAGGGGCCCAGCCAGTGGGATGGTGGTTAAGACATCTGGATCCCACTTAGCCAACTGTATGGTTTGAGTCCCAGACCCAGTGATTGTAAAACACACCAAGCACATGTTTGTACAGGCCCAAAATCCTGAGAGGAGATGGGGGAGGAGGGATTACGGCATGGCCATCCCCCCAAGGGGTGTTTCTCATTTTCCTCCTTTCTTTCTCTGTCTCTCTCTGGTGAGTAGACATGCCTTGTAGCAAATTTAAGAAAATAAAGAAGAAGAAAGAAATTGAGACAGGCTGGCTCCATAACCTAGCAATTAAAACAGTCAGATCCCACATGGCCTACCATTCAGTTCAATTCTCAGACCAAGCAGCTTGAGAAACATGTCAGGTGCATGTGCACATGTGCCAAAAAATCTCAAAAGGTGGGAAAGATGGGGGAGAAGAGATTGAAGCATGACCATGCCCAATGAGCAGTGCTTTCTGCCCTCCCTCTTTCTCTGTCTCTCTTTGTCTCTTTGGTAAGTACATGCCCTCTAACAGTAACAGAAAAACTTAAAAATAAATGCTTAGGCAATTAGAAACAGTAAAGCATTTGGGACTACACTAATAAAATTGTTTCATTTCCATTTACTGTTATATGCCAAATATACAGAATGATAATCAAATATTAAAACTTAAAAGCAGGTGGCAAGGTGGTTGAGGTTCTCAAATGGTCAACCTTGGTTTGACTCCCAGACTTGGTGACTTGAAACTCATACCAGGCATGTGTGCACAAGTGCCTCAAATCCTGAGTGGGGAATGGAGGAGAAGGAATTGCAGCATGGCCATCTCTTCTGGGGGATGATTCTCACTTTTTATCTCTCTGTCGAGTGCATGTGCCTTATAGAAAAAAAATCTCTCAAAAAATTAATTAGTTAAAGTTAAAAGTAGATAGCTCTCAAGTAAGATATGTATATCCAGTCATATGTTTGTCCTTTTAAAACAGACCTCTAATCTATACAAAGAGTTATTATCTCTACCACTTTCTTGAGAAGTGTTTAGGGTAGATTAAGCTACATAATCTCAACAGAAAAGTAATTTCTATGGCATATACAACTTTTGGAGGTAGAGCACCAAAGTCTTATATTCTCTGCCTATTTCTCTGGTCTCTAGAATTTTTTTTTTTATTGCTTAAAGTGTTGACTTGGGAATAAAATAAACTGTGATAACCATCTTCTTCATAGTGCTGAACTGAAAAAAATGAAAAGGACAGTTTCATACTCAACTAATGGCTGGCTTAGATAGTGATCAGACAGACTTTGACTTACTGTTTCCCTAAGAGTTTGGTTTTCACTGGCTCTTTGATATTTCTTCAACTGCTATTATAAAATCAAAATGTTGTATGCTGTTTTCATGAAGTTCTGTTTAAATTTCTATCTCTATTTTCAAGTTTTTATTTAATTAAATACTCGGTCTAAATAATTTTATCAAAGGATTTTCCAAGTACCATGCTATTTTTCCATTTCCATTTTCTTGCTATTCATTCTAGATATGATTTCAGAAATAGCTGTGACATAATCCTGAACTGTTTTGAGTTTTAAAGCATAGTTTTTTGTTTTTTTTAAATAGCCTTCCATAATAATAGTACTCTCCTTTCTTATGTAAGGAAAACATAATTAGTACTTCCCAGGAAACTGACAAGTTGAATTTGGAAATAAAAGAAAATGATTCATTTTGTAATATTCTGAAAGAAAAATGACCCTATGAGAGACAATAATGAAAAAAGTCACTGAAGCCACCTAAAAGACCAATTATCTTGCTTTAACTCCAAAAGATGTACTAATGCTCTCCTTTGGCCATTCCTTTCCACTCCTCTTTACTACCCCACATTCATATCCTCTTTATCTTTCTCTTCTTCTGCTCTTCTCCCCAAAAGGAAGGGCAAATGATTTAGAGTCTATTTTTCACCAGCTGTACCACACTGCATATTTTCTCTAAATATGCTATTCTTCTTTCTAAAGCAATTTCCACCACTTCCTTCTCTCACATCTTAGAAAAAATTTCCTCAGAAATATACTCAAAGATCTGTAAGTAAACCAGTGTAAAATGAACCTTCATTAATTTCTTCTCCACAATTTAAGAAGTCTTTCAGCATCTGCCCTTTTAATAAGAGCACAGTCATTTTTTCATGTTTTTCCAGAGTCTTAGTAATAACATTTTCAGTTCCTCAAGTAAAATATCTATAATGTTGGGCACCACCTGAATCATACCATATATATCAAGTACTTATTTTCTTATATCTCAGAATTGAATAGTATCTATCTTAATGTCGTGTCATACCAACTCTCATTTGGATACAACAAGGTCTGGCAGAGAAGCAAATATTTGAAATGGTCCCTTGTCTCTTATAAAACCCCTCTAAGGATTGAGAACTTTCCTACCCCAAACTATCCATTTGGTACTAACCAAATGTTTTTCTTAAAATTATGTTTAAAAATGTTTCCCTTTCAATCTCATTCTTTTTTCATAACTCTGTCCCTTGGAAACAGAGCATGTAAGGACTAATTCCTCTTTCACATATGTTTGAAGAGTTAGGTCTTGCTACTTCATTTAGCATTCTTTGAGGAGTTTTACATTTTCTCTCACTCTCCCAGTAAATTTTATCTCAATGAACTTTTCTAAGATTATACTTACAATATAGCTTTCTTAGATTCCATACAATCTTATACCCTACTTCAAGAAACCAAGGCAATATTGTAGCATCTGGCCTTTGTATTTATTCTGTTATAGGAAAAATTATCCTGTTGCCCTCCAGTAACCTCTTAATGTTTCAAAAGAGATGACTATAGTCTCAGACCATTCTGAGGCTTCATGGGTCACCCAAATACATGGCATATGTTCTCTTTAGCAAAATAATATCTTTTAAAAATTTCCCTTGTACTTGGTACTTTTTTGTTGTTTTATTCTTTATTTCATGGAATGACAATGACATCTGATTTTTGTGAATTGTATCAGTAGCTTAGTGTTGCAGTTTCAGACTGAATAGATTATTTTTTGGTCTTAAATTTTGTGAGACAGATGGTCTACTGTTAAAAGAATTCATGTTTTTCAAATTCTTTCTTATATTTTCACACACTAGTTTTTATTAAGCCCTACCAAGATAATACATAAAACCAAGTATTTTATAGAAATAAAGTCTTCTTGGGGCCAGCAGATGGTGTGGTGGTTATGGCACTGGACACTCCCACATGACCAACCACGGTTCGAGTGCTAGACCTGGTGGCTTGCTTTCTCACTTTCCTTCTCCTGTGTGTCTGTCTTTCTCTGGTCATATAAAAATAAATGAATGAATAAATAAAATAAAATAAATAATTCTTTAAAAAAAGAAGAAGAAAGAAATATAGTCCTCTTTTCCTTTCTCTACACAATACCAGAAGCTCTGAATCCGGACTCATTTGATTATCTTCTCTTCAGGAGTAGTACTAGTTGTTTGTTGTCAAAGCCCTCCATCACATTGTAATTTAAGGTTAAATTTTTTTTTTTTTTTTTTTTTTTTGCAGGAGTAGTACTAGTTGTTTGTTGTCAAAGTCCTCCATCACATTGTAATTTAAGGTTAAATTTTTTTTTTTTTTTTTTTTTTTTTAGCACTCGGACTTTCTTAAAGTTTATTTTGGTCATGATAGAGAGCACGCACACATGCATGAAACAAAAAGAGAGAAGCACCTTTGTCAGGCCCCCAGCCCTGCAACTTTCAGGATCATAGGCATGTGCACACACACCAGACATGTCTCTAAGCTGACCAGGGAATCCGAACATGCAGTCTGCCACATGGCTTCCAGCCCTGCAGTTCATCTTGCCACTGACTGTCACCAGACTGAGCCATAAATGATGGTTTAAAAATCTTAATCACTTTTTGTCATATAACCTCTGCTTGATATTTGAAGGGGAAAAAAAATGGTTAGTAAGAGAGCCTTTAAACCTTTTACAGAGAATGAGTTTATATGTTTTCTTTCCTTAAAGGGAAGTAGTGGACAAGAGGAGAGGGAACAGAGGCATTGAAGTCAAGGGGAAAGACAATGGGCTTCGAGGTAGGAGAGCTGGATTTTAGTCATAGGCAGCTAACACTAACTGCTTAATCTACCATGGGCACCTCATATACATCTCCAGTCTTCTGTTTTGGCTTCTATACAAGTACCACTGCCTTAGGGCAGCATTTTCCAAAGTATGTTTTAAAATATTGGTCTCATTCCTGTGGCCAAATAAGTCTGAGAAAATATCCAACTTGTAGCTTACCTTTAGTGTAGAATCTGAGTGAACTTTAGCATATTAAAAGGTCTGTGGGGCCAGCTAGGTG